AGAGATCTGGAAATTCTCATTGTGTGATTAAACGGGGAAAATAGCCTCACTTACTAAGCACTTCCTGTAGCTTTTGTTTTAGACTTTCTCTCTATTTTCCAGACTTTTTCCGGGTATGGAAAATTGCTATGCAAACTTCAAGACTTTTTCAAGAATTCAACGCTTTGTACGAACCCTGCGGGAGGCAATCTACATCAAATTGCCTTCTTTTGCAACAGAATTGATCCCAGTGTCAAGCAGAAAATCACAGGAGAACGAGGACAACATACAAGTAAGTAAAAATAAAGCGAACTTACAGTTTCTTGGTGTAAGTACCGTCAGCAAGACGAACTTCAATATTTGGCAAGTCTCTCCAGTCTGAGCCGGGCGTCAACGGAATATAACGCATGCGTACTGCAACAAGGGGATTCATTTCCTTGCAGATGTGATCTTTAAGGACTGGTTGGTACTGGTGACCGCGGATCTAGTGAACAACAACAAAAAAAACTTATAGTGGCCCAGTATTCACCAAATTCTAGGTCAAAGTCTTAGCACTGCGTGTTAGTTTTATCTCACTGTCTGTTAAGGCAGTGGTTTTGCTCAAATTATCGGGCAAATCCTCTCTATAAGAGTAAAGATAAAAATAAAGATAAAAATTCGGTAGCGCCGAGGCATAGAAAAAGGCAAAAGGCCTTACTTCCGGTTGACATGCGTCACCGAAAAACACCTTTGCTTAAGTTCTCCAATCTTAGAAGAAAGGACGTCGACTTCCCTTACTCGTCCTCTTTTACTTTTGTTTCCTTACTTTTCTGAGTGAGCCAAACACACAAGCTCACCGGCAGTCACCTCAGGCATGGGGACGTGAGAGACGCTGCAATCGAACTCACACTGCACTCTATTCTAGGGGCCTACGCGCCATACCCTCGCGTTGAAATTTTGTGGAGCATTTTAACAAAGGATAGAGAAGGTTCTTACCTTCACAAAGAGCGCTTTACCACTCCAACCTCCAAATAATACAAGTGAGCTCGTCGTGGAATAACATCTTACAGTAGAAAAAAATTTTTATGTTTAAAAAAACTTTTTTACTATTTGTTTATAAAAAATAAAAACTTCACAAAAATCACCCACCCTTTATAAACAACCCCCACCAATTAAAAAAATTCACCCGGGGCCCCCCCCCCCCCCCCCCCCCCGCCAGTAAGCTTTGGACTACGCCCTTCGATTTTAAGTCTCGTGGAAAAAATTATTTTTTTTTGGAAACTAGTCACACAAATTGCTGGATCCACCCCTGAGCTGTAATGGGAGATGGGAGGGTTAATGTGCGTCTCCATCAATATTAGTTGCAGCAACTCTCAGATCTTACGTATTTATATTTTTTCTGTTGAATCACTTACATTGAATAACATACATTGTATCTACAATGATCTAACTTATGCGTGTACAGTAATACTGCACTTGTTATGATTAGATTGCAGATGTTTACACCAGAAATCCTAACAAGAGGTTTTATGAACAGTCAATTCGATTATTCAGGTACAGTCTGATAATAATAATAATAATAATAATAATAAAAATAACTAGTAATAACTGCAAATTAGGGGAGTGCGTCCGATGTGGAGGGGGGATAGGGTGGTGGGTAGTGAATGATAGTGGGAAGGGGGCGCAAAACCTGATGGGCTTGTAATATTAAGGTGACTCGACTCAGTTTTTTTAGGGGGTACCATCCTACTTTGAAGCTCTCTGGTATCTCTACCTTTACTTTTATCGTAAGTCTAACACATAGAATGGATAACATATAGATCAATCTACAATATAACATAAAATTTTTGGCGATCGGAGTAAATGTCACGT